ACTAGGAAATTACTTGATCAACGTTTTGGGCCCGTGCACTGCAGTACACTGAGGTCAGCAGGAATTTTTCCATTGGTATTAGTGGGTTTCCTATTAAATTTGCATTATTATTTACAAGCCCAGTAGTTGAGCTGACTAAATATGCCAGACAGGTGTTTAGGATGTTAGAGAAACCAAAACTGTCACTTAAACTTTGCTTGTGAACGAACTCTTCTCGTTACCTTTGCTTTTCATACAAGAACTGTTCATAAAACCTTGTATTACATTCTCCCTCCCTGCGTGCAGCTGATCTCAACAGGTACAGAAGGCAGAAATCTAGAGCTGTCAGTGCTCTGACAAAGTAACAGCACTGTCTTTTTATCCACACTCCTGTGAAGAGGACATTAAAAGGGAAGTTATTTCTGGATGTTTAATTTGATTTCTCCATCTAATGGGTCTTTTTACTCCTCAGAAGCGAACATCCGCTGGCCCAGCTGTACTGCCACTCAATCATGGAGCATCATCATTTTGATCAATGCCTTATGATCCTGAATAGCCCAGTGAGTGCCACATTCTTCTGTATGCTGAAGGAAACTGTTCTACTTTCTATTTTTAGCTTCTGGATAGAATCCCACCCTTATACATTCCCAAGTGCTCTTTATTCCTTTTTGGGTAAAGAAAGCAAATGCAGCAGCTTCGAAATCCCAGTTCCACCGCTGAGCGCCACCAAACCTTTCCAAGTGTTGCCTGATAAGGGAAGCCTTGCTAATGTCCTTTCGGGTACCTGCTTCCTTGCACCAAGGGAAACAAAAGGCTTTGTTGCCATTTCATGACCTCTTACGAACCACCAAACAAACCCAAGTCCTTGCTCTCATTCCAAAAAACATTCCAGCCTACACATACACAAAGCAGCCCTGATGAGACCAAACCAAACACTGCTAATGTTGACATTCCAAAGTGAAGCCAAACCTAAGTTAAGTAAATATGCAAATAAAATGACATTCTTCTTGCTTCATGTTATTAAACTAATTCCGAAGCCCAGTTATTCAGTGTGCACAACCATTTCAAAGCACTGCTCCTTTCACACCACAGGTAGAGTGCTTCTGGCATCCTTTGTATTGTAATGATTGTTTCCTATTCAGATGGGCAAATATGGGAAAAAAGGGGAGGCAAGTTGCCATTTCACCAGCTTTGGTTTAACAGGAGGCTGCTGAGCTTTTATTTCTGTCTAACAGCTTGTTATTTATGCTGCTTCACAAAAGGAAAATATTTTTATTTACTAGAGGTGCATAGACAGGTACTGGGATCTGTCACAGTTCCTCTGCTTCGGGGAGGGGGAGGAAGAGGAAAGAGAAATGCTTTGGTGGAGCTCGTGGCAAATTTAATCTTGATGAATGAAATGGACTTGAGAGCTTGGATGTTGCTCTGTTTACAGTTTCATTTTTAATAGTCAATCTTGATGCTGTTGCTGTGCAGCTTTCTGCCATTACTCAAGAAGACTGGAATTTTTATTTTTAAATTGGGGAATCTGCAAAAGGAAGCAGGGTAAAAGAATGACATCAGCTAGCAACTCAAAATGATTTAGTAGCTTAAGAGACATTTTAGTAAACTGGTGTGCTGCTGCCCATTTTGCTGATAACACTGCTTTTTGGCTTTTTTTCTGAAGGGAAATCAGATTCTCAGCAACCTTTCCATTGAAGAATACAAGGCTACACTGAAAATGATAAAACAAGCCATTCTTGCCACAGACCTAGCACTGTACATAAAGTAAGTCAGAGGAAAGTTTGGCTGGGTAGTCATTGCTGGATGTTTGGATCATGTCATCACGCTGCAAAATCTTTTAACTTCTTTTAAAGGAGGAGAGGAGAATTTTTCGAACTTCTAAGGAAGAAGCAGTTTAATTGGGAAGACCCCACACAGAAGGAGCTATTTTTGTAAGTAAAAGCAGAGTGATTAAGAAGTCAGCTGATACTATTAGGTACCCATTTCCCATGCCATGTTACTGGGAGCAGGTCTGTGCACTCTGGGCCTGTACAACTGGCACTGTCATATAAGCACTGAACAACTCCCTGGGCCTGAACTACTAAGTCTGCAACCTCTGGAATAAACTTTACTAAGTATCATATGAAGTTACGTGAGCATTTTTGTTCTTCCTAAAGAGTGTAGGAACCACGTTGTTTTGCTCTTGATACTTTATGCTTAAACAGTGAATTTCTGAAACCTGTAACTGAAGAATTCAGGACAGGCAGTTTGGTTTGAAGCTGATTCCTTACTGGCAATGAAGAAAAAAGAAGACTAAGAATCGAGACATCTACCACAGCATCAGGCCTGGGCTACATTTATAACTCTGCTTTAATTTCAGTTGCTTTTCTGACTTGGATCTTCCCTGAAATTCTGTTTTACTGATCACTTGCCTTGGTGTCTCCATGCATTTCACCATACAGTAGCTCATACATTTCTCTCTGTTTGTTCTACAGAGCCATGCTGATGACTGCTTGTGATTTATCAGCTATAACCAAACCATGGCCAGTCCAGCAACGGGTATGTGCTTCATTTTTAAGACTTACTAAATACAAACTGCGTAACAGCTTCTGCTTCCTCCATCCAACCCTTACTGCAAAGGCAGTGGTGGAATGCAGAGCTGGAGTCTCACTGGGGGGGGTCCCCAGTCTGATATATCCACATTAGAGCTCTCAATGTGTGAAATCTCTTACAGATTGCTGAGCTTGTAGCTACTGAGTTCTTTGATCAAGGAGATAAAGAGCGGAAGGAACTCAACATAGAACCAACAGTAAGTGGCAGAATCTCCTCCTGCAGAATGGCTTCTGGAAACAGCACTTCAAAATCCACAATTTCTCCCACTGACCAGAATATAGGACAAATTCTTTCCCTGCCTTCTTTTCTGTGGTTCTCAGACACCAGCAGTGTGTTCTGAACCAGAACAACAGACTTTATTGTTTCTTTCAAATCAGTATTACTAAATTGTCTAGGAAATACATTCCTGAATTGGTACCTATTTGCAGCCTATCCAAACCCAGTAAGTTTGCCTGTGTTTCTAGTTATTTGGGCTCTGTTAATCCAAAGCAAATCTCCTAAGGGAAGTCATGCAGTCAAATTACCTGCATGGTAACACTTCTACTGATACCCCACTGGGCTGAGCTTGCTGTGCTGTTTAAGGTGCTGCTTTTTAATTGCAGCCTGTCTCCTTGGGTTTGGTTGGGTTTTTTATTTAATGCATTTAAACACAGAGCTTGTTTACTTCTTACCTACAGGATCTAATGAACAGAGAGAAGAAAAACAAAATTCCCAGCATGCAGGTTGGATTCATAGATGCTGTCTGTTTGCAGCTGTATGAGGTACGGTGCCTAAGAAAGAACTGCAGATACCTAAAACCAGAACTGCTCATAGTAGACACAGATTTAAAATTAGAATAACAATCAAATAAAAAAACTAGTCACTGAGGTAAAAATATTTTATTATTTATTACATATTGTTCATTATTCAGTTGAAGAAATTATTATTTTGGTATTTATAATTGGTGGTATATTTGTCTGATTAATGTAATTTGTTATCATTTTATTAAACCTAGTGGTAATTGCTGTGCTCTGTGCAACTGGTGTTATATCCCTGGGTTATATTCTGGATTCCAGCAGGTCCAGTGAGCTGCTGTGATCATCAGGGAAACTCACAAAACTAATGTTTTGCTATCTAGGAAAAGAATGGTGTCCAGGTAGTGCATTGATAGAAATGTTGTTTTAAGAGTTTTAAGCAATTCAGAATTCTTCATGCAAAAGGTGATATGCTATGTATAGAAAACTTACCCAAGTTTAACTTTTCCCATCCCATTTTTTTTCTTTCATCTCACACAAAAGCAGTGCATGAGAGAATTCATTGAAATGGTTTTTTGTCCTGGTCACAAACTGTGTGAAAAGCTGCTTGGTCGAATACAGCATGAAACACAGGATAATGATTTTTGATTTTTTTTTTTAAACCAGTAAAGACTTAGAGTGAAAGTCTGTTCATTGGGACTGTAGAAAGCATTTTACAGGGACTGAGGTGAAGAACAGATAGCCTAACTCTTAATCTTCCAGTGGGAGCAAGAAGGTGACTACTTGCATTTTTCTCTCTTAAACAATAAAATTTTCTAAAAAGACTCCACATCCACTAATTGGAAGGAAACAAGGATAGGGGCCACTAATTGGAAGGAAACAAGGATAGGGGAAGGAGTGGGAGCTACCAGCTACTGTCCCTGAAAGTCAGATGTTTTTGTGCTGTAGAAATTGTTTGTCAGGAAAATAAGGCAGCCTTTGCTGGGGAGCCTGAGGTGGAGGTAGGTGGAGGTGGCAAAGGTACAGACTATACAAACAGAAAACTCTTTGAACAGAACACCTGAGCAGGTTTGAAGGCCCACAGTTCCAAAGCCTGAACTTCTATAGTTTTTCTTGTTAGGAGAGAGCTTTACCTTTTTTTTTTTTTTTCCTGGTCTTTTCAATTATGATTCAGCTTTCAGTGTCTCACTTTTATTTGTCACCTTGTTTTAAAGCCTCCCCTGAACTGGAACAGCATAGAGCAGGCTGACAGTGTCTGGGACTTTATCTAGGCTCGTGTCCTAAGCTGACAGAGAAGTGAGAGTGACTTACCTGCAGGGGCAGAGAGCACTTGAGAGGATGGGGAGCCTTTGAGGTAGTGACAAACCCAAAAGAAATCCAAGGAAAGGGCTGTGGTTTGAGTTTATTTTTACTGGAGTACAAGTAGGGGGTATTACCTGCTTACACAGATTTGGGGGTTTTTTTAAGGAGTAATAAATGATAAAACATACAAACAACTTCAGTGTTACTTTGAAAATGAACAAGCACAGGGTTCACGCTCCAATGTTCTAACGCAATAAAAGCAAACAATTAGCAGGTTTGTAATGGCAGCCTTTTCACTGCTTTCGTAGCTTTCATCCAGTCAGAAGGAATTTGACACACAGTGCAAACAGAAATGAGTTCTCAATCCAGCACTGCAAGAATGTGACTTACCATGTTATTCAGAGCAGGTCAGATCCCAGTGAACTGAAGCTTTGTGGCTTGTGTTAGCTGAGTAACCGGTGCAGTTCAACTGAATGATCTACAAGTCAATCCTCTGAGTTCAGAAATCTGAAAAAATACGAGAAATGTGTTTCGTTCTCTTCATTTTTAATTAAAAATTAAATGCAATCTGTTTTACGTGTTCTTAATCTATTTCAGGCCCTAACACATGTGTCAGAGGCCTGCTCCCCTTTACTGGATGGCTGTAAAAAGAACAGGCAGAAATGGCAAGCCTTAGCTGAACAGCAAGAGAAGAACCTGATAAATGGAGAGAGCAATCAAGGCAAACGGAACTGAGATGCTGATTTAACAACCACAAGCTTAAGTTCACATAGAAGACATAGTAATAGGGGAGTACTGCATTTTGCTGAACACTGTATGAATCTGGCTTATGTTTTGCCACTGCTGTATTATCTTTCCACGTTCCAAGATATAGCATGACCATGTGTATGCCAAGAGATAGTATGTGTCTTTTATTACATCTGATTGAGATGGAAAAAGACCTGCAAGGGTGGTTTTTGCCCCCCCTGCTCCAGCAGAAGGTACTAGTGCAGTGACTCGACTGTGCCCGAGAGCCTCTGACTTTCCAGATGTATATAGTTGTTTGGTGATCATGTTGTGGCCAGTATCTTACAGACTACTGCATTTCGCACCTTTTTCTTTTCCCTCTCCCAATCTTGCTGTGTTATGTTATAAAAGTCATGAGCAGTCTCGCCTGTTCTCTTCCCAGAGGCTCAGAGGGAAGACTGGGACTCGCTCTGGGGAGCCTAATCCAGCATATACTATGCTGACCTCCTTCAGAAGACAGAACTGGGCTCTGAGGTGAAAAGCCCCAGAATTTATGCACCCAGTAGTTCAATTTTGGTGTTGTTTTTTTTTTTTTTCATATCAAATGGATATCTGAGCAAATATCTTATTACATTTGAAGAAGTTTTTAAGACCCTTGTGAAATACTAGGCAATGAGGGTCTTAGGAGTTTTGTGGTGGAAGTGTCACAATTATCCATGAATAATGGAAACTGCTCGAAGACTGCTGAAATGTCCCAGCATACCTGACAGGCTGCCATGGAAGGATGATGGAAGGATGGCTCCCATAGAAAGCTGCAAGAAGCACAGAGAGAAATGGAAACTGAAGAGGATCATCTTTATCTGCTGGTTTTAACTTCGTTTGGAAGTTGATTTTAACATCATCCAGCCGACAGAGGGGATCACGGGCAGAAGAGAACGTGACTGCAAGAGCAAGAGGTGACAGTCTCAGTCAGAAAGATGCAGGAATGGCACAATCCTGGTGACTATCCATGACTGATTCTTTAGGCCAGTGTTGCTATGAAATGGCTATGACCACTTGGAAGGAAGTTTTATGTCAACATCTCTTACAAATCATTTTTAGCATTAGTTCACAATGATTAATCACAGCGTCTTAAAAAAATTAGAAAAAAAAAAGAGTACCAAAAGCAAAAATAGCCAAGAATGCTACAGGGATTTGCCATTTGTATATGAGGCATTAATGTTCTGAAAAGTAAGAAATCAATTAACTTGCACTAGCAAAAACCCGAACATTGGTATTTTATTTAAAAGAAGATGATTAATAAAAATGGTTGTGAATTGGGGACCAATTAAAGAAAATATGCACATGAGAGAGATCCCAAAAGAGTAAAACAAAGAGAGTACTATTCCTCGTGTAGACAGGATCAGGAGATGAATGTCAGCAGTGTAAAATGGATCAGCAGTACCTGTAACTTTGGCTGCACAGACACACACAGAATAGTGTGGGGTTTTTAATGTGTAATAATGATTCTCTGGTTAAAAGCTGCAATTGTGTTGGGCAAAAGTAACACACTTAGGATTGTACTTTGAAGTATGGGCATTTATTTCTATCACAATAATCCAGAACATTCTAGTTGGAAACTGCAACGAATTATCAACCCCTCCCCTTGTAAGAGCTGGTCAGAAAGAAGTGAAAAAGTCCCCCTTTTTATCAATTTCTTCATTTAGATAATTTATACCAGAAGCTAAGAAAATATAAAGCAAATGTTTCAAAATGTCTGACGATACTGAGTTTCGTAGTTGAATTTTTTTTTTAATGTAGAATAAGGTATTCTGACAGTCAGCAGCATTTCTGCCAACCTAAATTATTTGTCACTGATTAAATCCTGTCTCAGACTTCTCTAAAGAGCACCAATAATGTATTATTGCAGCTGAATTTGAAAACATTTTTCTAGGAAAGTATTTCTCCTGATTTCCTTCACACAGATTAAAAAAAAAAAAAGTATGGATTTCAATAATAATTCAGAATTCCAGGACTACTGTTATGCAGTGCTCCATATGTGTATTTATATGCAAATGACAGCAGCCTGCCCACCCCAACAAAAGTTTTTAGGTACTTTTTGATAAAATAGGAAACTTTGCTTCAGGATTTGCATAGTCCTTGTATAGTCTTCTCCTTGAGTGCTTGAGATACTGAAATATAATTATTACACTAACTGATGAGATACGTATTTAATATAAATATGAATAAATTATATGTATATAAAGGTGTATTCTTGCTATTATGGTTGAGACTGGTAATTCATGGTGACAACACAGCAGATAACTATGATAATATTACAGTGTAGTGACTGAGCATCTTTTACATTAATATCCCAGTATTTCTTTGCTATATTGTGTGTCCAGCAAAGCTTTATTATAACTAAATTTATAACTGCTACAGAAGAGTGATGGATTCGTACCTTTGACTTGAAAAAAAGGGCATGACATTACATTTTTTAAAGGTTCACTTACAATGAACAGTAATAGAGTATGTGCATATATTTAATTACATATCTGTACACATTTATCCCACGGAATCTCTTCCACTACAGAGATTGGAACATAGGTATAAATACAGTTCCTAGTAAATAAACCATTTATTTATCATAATACACCTGTATCTGTATGTATTTCTACAAAACCAAAGCCTTTAAACTACTGGTTTAAGAACCTTAAAAGCATAGACTGCTGTAGTTCCTGAAATTTCAGAGCATGATCAACGTTTTTAAATAGTGTTTAATTCTGCCTGAAGGCAAAGTCAGAGTGTGCTGGTTCTGTGTCAGCTTCGTGTGAAGCATTTGCAGAAACTGCTCATTCCTTTCATAATGGAGATGTGGGACAATATGGGGGGAAAAAAAAAAAGCCAGCCTGTTTCCTGCTTGGAGTTCACTGCCTTTAAAATTCAACATTTTCAAACCCAGCTAGTGGATTACAGCCACAAGCTGCCCTTCATTTCATCATGAGTTGTGTTTCTAGTGATTTTAGTCAGGTCTCAAACGTTTTCTCCCCAATTTATACTGTCTAGCTAAAACAATCAGCAGGGATTACACAAGAAACCAGCTGAAGTGGAGTTTTGCCCTTGGTCAGTTCAGACTAAAGTTTATTAAAGCCATTGTCAAATTCGATATTTCAATCTTCAGGTACAGAATTTGTCCCACCAGTGTCTCAATGAAGGCATCTAAGTTAGTATCCTACTTGATCTCAGATATGGACATATTTTCTTTTACACTCACTCCACAGCACAGTTTAATGCTTAAAGTACACTTTTCTTTCTGTTTTTGTTCTCCTTCTCAAAAAAATTGCTTGTCATATGTATTAACACACAAAAAATTACTGATTAACCCTATCTCTTCTAATTAAAAATAACAATGAGGTTCTTAAGCTGTAGGTTGAACTTCTTTTCCAATAAATTAGTCCCACATCCAATATTAGCTGTGGAACATCTAGGTTTTCTATTATCTCACACAATTAAAGAAAGGGGAGGAAAATAATGTGATGTTGATTTTGGAGATGGTGATAATTGTTAATTAGCAGCTCAAAGTTAAGAGCAGATTACTCTCTTATCTTCAAGTGAGCTAGTGAGAAAAGTAAACAACCTATTCCACTGATGATCAGCTGATCTCTCCTTCGAAGAGAGGACTGAAGCCTGATTTTATGTACCACTCCCATTCGTGTAAAGATAAACTTTTCACCTCCAATCCAAAGCATTTTACCTGGCAGTGGCATGAACTGACAAAATCAGAACTCTGTCTAATTCATATACAAGATTTCTCAAAATCCCCAGGTAACTAATTTTCCAATGCATTGCACAGACAACTTATGAAGAGTCAGATCTAGTCCCATAAAATTCGGGGATGTTGCCTGAGTTATCTGGTTGGTGTCCCTTGCAGTTCTCCACAGGAAGACAGCAGAGAGTTCTTATGGAAAAAAAGAAGCCTCATTGATATTAAATTCATACCTTTTTTAAAGGTTTTATAAAGATCTGGTATTTCAGGCAAATATATGTATTGGCTTTAGTTTGGAGTCTTGTCTCTGTGATGCTGTGGGTTTTTCTCTTCATGTCAAATCACATGCAGGTTACATTCCACAAGGTTTCAGCTTTATTTCACAGTTCCCTGCTGCACTTCTTCAGGGACTTGCACTAATTTGAAAGATAAACTTGAACACTGGAGCTTGAATAAAAGAGTGAGTTTGGCCAGAGTATGGTAAATAATGAAAGCTGGATTTTTTAGTTTGGACTTTGACAGGAAGAAGAAACATCCCAGAATCTGGCCTGGTGATTAGTGACACTTGTTAAATACAGCAAATAGTGCCAGCAGGATATTTTATCTTTGTCACTGCTAGATGAATGGAAGTTGCATGGGAAAGTTTATTTTCCACATAAAGACGTTTGTTTCCATAGAGAAACTCAGATCTAAGTACCACTGTTTGTAAATGTGTATTTATGTGACAATGCTGTAGAATAGCCAGTTTTCACTTATTTTCACAGCATGAGCTGGTCATGCCAGGGTCTAAAGCATGCTCTGATGCCTATTTAAAGTCAGTCATACAGATTCCCACTCACCTCAGTGGGAGTTGGATTGAGCTGTATAGAAAGTGAAAGAATGGTCAAATCCACCTTTTTTACCTTCAAGGAGGGACCAAACTCTTACCTTGGCAACACCTGCCTCACCTGCTCTTTGCTGTGTTCAGCTCTTCCTGCTGATGCCTGAGGTACCTTACAGATGGAACTGAAG